TTTTTTGGTTTTAAAAAGGGCGACGGCCTTGAGATATTATCATTGAGCTGACCTGCCCCAAGCAATTCATTAGTAGTTGGTTTTACTCGTCACGTTCCATCATCTGGATTCGAACACAGCACCTGGTCTGTATTTCAACAGTTCATGGGTGTACCCGCACAGGTACAAACAAATAGGCCATGACTCGTGTACTAGTGGAACCGTGCCCCGGGGCCAGATCACACTAGCAGCGTTGAGTTTCCTCAACGCCTGAATCTGGACGTGTCTGTGGATATGTGCAGAAATCGCTTTGAGTTTTTTCAACCGCACATCTCCACGAACGCGTCCAGATTCTGGCGTTGAGGAAACTCACCGCTGCTAGTGGAACCGTGCCCCGGGCAGAATTGTGAGGTCCCCGGCCTCGATGATTGAATTTGCAATCTATGAATGAATTGTTAAAAAAAAAAAAAAAAAAAAAAAGGCTGTCTGACCAAATGATTTTCTGGTAATAGAAAAAAAAAAAAAGGTCAAACATTAGAAACTACAGTAAAGTAAGGAACTGCTACATTGAGATTTGTAAAAGGGCATACTCACATTAGGCCCTTATAATCGCAGAATCGCAAAATCAACGGCCAGATCCAGTCGGGGAGTCGGGGAGGACTGGATCGAGCCGCTGATTTGCCGATTCTGCGACTATAAGGTCCTAGCGGTAGTGTAGTGTTTTTTTGTTTTTTTTTGTCCTTGCAATATTCTGCCCACTGCCAATCGATCAGCTTACAAACACAACTACCTCTAAGAAAAAACTTAAGAAAAAACTTAAGAAAAACTTGTTTGATCTCCTCATGGTAGTGTAGTGTGAGTGTACTCTAAGAGTAGTTGGTCGACACCAAGACAACAGGGTGCACTACCATCGCAGGCAGAGATTAGTCAGACGGAGAGATGCCCGCGGCGCTGCCGACCACTCTTCGTTTCCTTGCTGCGTTGCTGCTATAGTCTAAATTGGTTCTCTTAATCCTTCGTGACAGCCGTTAAAAGAAGATTAGCATGGCCCCTGCGCAAGGATGACACGCATAAATCGAGATATGGTCCAAAAAAAAAAAAAAAAAAAAAAAAGGTTCGTAACAGGCATAGGGTACTTAGTCATTAACAATCATTAAACTTTATGTTTCATGATGAAGCTGGAGATTTTGACTGAAGTCGAGCAAGGTGCGTCAGTAGCGAAGGCGCAGTACCTCTCAGGTCTCCTGCTTGCTACTGTCACTCTCTGTCTCAGACTTCCACATCACTTCATACGGAAATGGAATCCGGTCTACGGTACCCGAGACTGTAGTTGCCTGTTTCTCCGTTCTTTTGCTTCAATTCTTGTTCCATTCTTTTGCTTCAATTCTTGTCCCATTCTTTTGCTTCAATTCTTGTTCCATGCTTGGCGGGCGAGGATAAGTAATCGGACCAGCACCCCACACAGAATAGACGGGGCAGTGTGTGTGTTGTGTGACTAGAAGCAAAACGAAAAGAGAAAAAAGATCATGGAGAACGAGCAACAGACAAACATTCCGGTAAGGACTGGAAATTGAATGGCTTTTCTATCCAATGGCAAGCGAGAAAACGCTGCGATCTGGGAGTCCGGAACTGACTAAAGCAATCTTGAATATGTCGATTGACTTTCTGGAAAAGATGTCTGTGAACTTAAAGAAAGAAAGGACGAGTAGATCGGATCGAGTCCGACACTCTCTCTCTCTCTCTCTCTCTCTCTCTCTCTCTCTCTCTCTCTCTCTCTCTCTCTCTCTCTCTCTCTCTCTCTCTGTGCCAAACCCACCCACCACCTCTTCCACACACTTACCCCACCACTCTGCCCTTCTGCCTCTCTCTCTCTCTCTCTCTCTCTCTCTCTCTCTCTCTCTCTCTCTCTCGCCATTTCGGTCCCTCGTATCTCAGAGACCCTGACGAGAGATTGAGAACGCCTACAATCTCAAGAGGCACAAGCAGCTATAGTGCTTTCGATTTATAACAAAAGATGAAAAGGCAACAAAGAAGAAGACACGGACGGCTCAGACCGGAGGTCTGCCCCCTTGCAGGCAAAAGATGTCCCTTTTGATGAATGACACACAGGTCGGCCTACTTCGGTTTCACAGCTCATATTTGCTCCCACGCTCACGCATCATACCCTCAAGCCCCTCCTTCCTCCGTCATAGCCCCAGCAGATGGGCCAGTATTCCGATCCCTCGACGCTGCATTTTCTCGCCCACCTCAGCCTCTCTTTACCTGGGGACACAAATATAGGTACGCTACTACGGGTGTATACATGGGCAAAGCTCCGCTCGTCAGGGTGGCTGTACGTGACCAAGCAAAAAGGCAAACCTGTATGAACGTATCTGACCGCAATTCCCACCAGATTCGGCCGCACAAGCCATACTGTGCGGTTATCCTATATCCTAAGGTCAGGTCGACAACCCGTTCCCGTACCATAAGCAAACACAGGCACACTAACGATTCCCACGGGTATTGCAGTTAGGGCTATGGAGGCAAA